AGGATAAAATGAGAATGCCCTACTCCATGATGCTACTACACTGTAGAATCTTGCAAACGTCCAGGGAAAACACAGCTGTTAAGAAAGGGCAATCACGTGGGCACAATCATCATGATAGAAGGAGTAGCCTGATATCACAAAATCCTTGGCTGTGAAATGTGAACTCATGGAGGTTTTCCGGCTTTTATATTACAGATGTTCCTTGGGTTGTGTAAAATTGGATTTAAGCAAATGTGACTTCATGCAAATTATCTAAGATACATCATAAAAGCTTAGTGATGCAGAGATTTTACATTCTATATAGAAATACAAAGCAGTCAGGTTGATGAACAAATAATACGAGAGGTGAATGGAGGCTAGCAGCACCACCACAAGGTGCCCTCCTACTTCTAGTCTCACCTGTTTTTTTTTTTTTTTGGTTGCTGGACTGGCCCACAAGACTCAAGACTACATTGGCCCAGGCTCTTGTAGGTTTGACTAGCCCAATGACATAAAAGGAATAAGCATCATTCATAATCAACTTAAAGCTTAAGTTGTGTATGATTTATTTGCTTTTATAAACCTTTAACAGGGAGGCCAGATGTGGTGGCCTGCAATCCCAGCGCTTTGGGAGGCTGAGGCAGGATTGTTTGCGGCCAGGAGTTCAAGACAAGCCTGAGAAACATAGTGAGAACCCATCTCTACAAAATAAATAAATAGGCCAGGTGCGGTGGCTCACGCCTCTAATCCCAGCCCGTAAGGAGGCCGAGGCGGGCGGATCACCTGAGGCCAAGAGTTTTCAGACCAGCCTGGCCAACATGGTAAAACCCCATCTCTACTAAAAATATAAAAATTAGCTGGGCAGGGCGCGGTGGCTCACACTGGTAATCCTAGCACTTTGGGAGGCAGAGGGGGGCGGATCACGAGGTCAGGAGTTTGAGACCAGTTTGACCAACATGGTGAAACCACGTTTCTACTAAAAATACCAAACTTAGCCGGCGTGTTGGCATGAGCTTGTAATCCCAGCTACTTAGGAAGCTGAGGTAGAAGAATCGCTTGAACCCAGGAGGTGGAGGTTGCAGTAAGCCGAGATCGCGCCTCTGCACTCCAGCTTAGGTGACAGAGTGAGACTCCGTCTCAAAAAACAAAAACAAAAACAAAAAAACACAAAATTAGCCAGGTGTGGTGGTGCATGCCTGTAATCCCAGCTACTCAGGAGGCTGAGGCAGGAGAATCGCTTGAACCCAGGAGGTGGAGGTGCCAGGTGGAGCCCGAGATGGCACACTCACCTCAGCTAGGTAGAGAGCAAGACTCCCTCAAAAAAATAAAAAAAAAAAAAAAAAGAAAAAGAAACCCACAAAAATTAGCCAGGTGTGGGTGGTGCGTGCTGATAATCCCAGCTACTCAGGAGGCTGAGGCAGGAGAATCGCTTAAACCTGGGAGGAGGAGGTTGCAGTGAGCCAAGATCGCACCACTGCAGTCCAGCCTGGGCAACAGAGTGAGACTCTGTCTCAAAATAAAATAAAATAAAATAAAAATGAATAAATAAATAAACAAAAATTAGCTGGGCATGGTGGCATGCACCCATAGTCCCAGCTATTTAGGAGGATGAGATGGAAGGATGGCTTTAGCCCAGGAGTTTGAGGCTGCAGTAACCTATGAGTGTGCCACTGAACTCTGGCCTGGGCAACAGAGCAAGACCCTGTCTCTGAAAAAAAAACCCAAAAAACAAAAAACAGTATAATGGAACCCCATGTAATTGTCACCCAGTTTCAGCAACTCCAATTCACAGCCAGTCTTGTTTCATCTACTCCATCAACTTACTTCTTTCCCTTTGCTCCAGACTAATTTGAAGCAAATCTAAGACATCATACTATTTCACTATAAATACATAACTTTTCATAATCGTTCTTGGATTGGATCTCAAACCAGCAACAAAATGAAAAAAGAATATTCTATTCAGGATGCTGAGGCAGGAGGATCGCTTCAGCTCAGGAGTTTGAGACCAGTCTTAGCAAGAATATAGTGAGACTCATATGTCCAAAAAAAAAAAAGGAAAGAAAAATATGGTATGGTCAAGAGGGCCATTTGCCTATTTTCCCTTTCTTAAAACTTCTGACAGGAGCATGGAGGAAACTGAAGTTGCAAAGTGGTAAAAGAGAACACACGCTCAAGCAGAATAAATAATTCAGTCCTAAATTAATACGGACCTATTTCTTCTTTTTTAAAAAGGCTATTGATTAGGTCATAAAGAATATTAGTTAAAAAAGAGTATTAGTTGCAGAAACAGAATACTAGAGTTATAGATCAGCTTCACAGCTAGCTCAGACACAGCATCACTATTGCCTAGTCCTGAAGAACAGATAATGGCATCCAATATTTCATATACTTAAGATTTTCTGAACCCCTAACAGAGGTTGTTTTTTAATGTTAATAGTCGGTTTCTGCATGTGCTTCACCAAAAGAAAAGTACATCAGGCTGAGAGGTGGCTCTTAAACTTTTTCCCACTTACATACTAAAATTATTCAGTAACTAATTCAAAGCAAGGCAATAGGAAATATTAAAGACAAAGTGGGAAAATTCTTTTGATCTGGAAAAATGAACCTACCAAGAAAACAACAGTTTAGCTATATCCCATTTGCTGTAGGGGATAAAATATCTTAAAAACAAAAAACAAAAAACAAAAAAACAGTGGAAGGAAACCATGTCTTCTTTCTTAGTGGTTTAGGTACTTGAAATATCAAACTCAATATAACAAATGCTAACTCAAGCTCATTTTGCATTTTTCCTCTTCCCTGCCAAAGAGTATAGGGAAAAAAATGAGTCTCCATTTCATTTTGTATATAATTTCATTTGTGTATAAAATTCCATATTTATGGTTCTGGAGAAAGCACCATTTCAAAATATCACTGCAACTGATTCAAGCACTAAATCTTGTGAGTGAATACTTCAGAACATGTAGCATTAAAAATGCTTTAACACTGGTCACTTAAAAGTATAATTTATAGATAGAGGATGTTTTCAAACATACCAAAGTACTATGAAAATATGTACCAAAACTCAAAATGTTAACAATAAATAAGTAACAAAGTAAACAGCGTAGGTCCAAGGCAGAAATGTGAGCAGAAAATAAATTGGACACTCCTAGCCTTCCCACTACTATCCTCTTTCTCCTTCTTCCTCTGCAATTTACCATTTTTGTGGAACACTCCTTCAGGTACATAAGGTCCTTGTGCTTCCCCTTTTAAAACATGTTCTCAGAAGGCTGGGCGCGGTGGCTCACGCCTGTAATCCCAGCACTTTGGGAGGCCGAGGCAGGTGGATTACGAGGTCAGGAGATGAAGACCATCCTGGATAACATGGTGAAACCCCGTCTCTACTAAAAATACAAAAAAAATTAGCCGGGCGAGGTGGCGGGTGCCTGTTGTCCCAGCTACTCGGGAGGCTGAGGCAGGAAAATGGCGTGAACCCGGGAGGCGGAGCTTGCAGTGAGCCGAGATCGCGCCACTGCACTCCAGCCTGGGCGACAGAGCGAGACTCCGTGTCAAAAAAAAAAAAATTAAAACAAACAAACAAAACATGCTCTCAGGAAAAAAATGTGAAATTCATATGCACTGAGGTAAACATAACTAATAACCTCAAGTATTACTCTTAATCGGTATTTGCATCTTAAGCTTAAACTTAAAAAAAAAAACCGAGTGGAATTTTCATGTCAGCTAGCAGGTAGGAGTGATTTCATCAGTGTCTTTCAAGTCTCATGTTGAACATAGTCAATTCAGCCTACCAATAAGGTCAGCACCGAGGACACGCGAATATGCATATACAGTGTAGTATATATAAACCTACCAATGAGGTTTCACCTGCTAAGATTTACTTTTATGTTCCAGTTCTTTTCAGCAGTGACACTTCCAACCATAAACCTACCTCCAAACTGGAAATTGTATTATCTCTTACCAATAAGATTATTCTATGTTTTATCACCAAAAACCTCTCAAGGAAAGAAAACAAAGTATGAGGCAAGACCAATGCTTTAAAGCCAAAAAACTGATAAAAATTGGGAAGAGGCTATACCAAAAGTGAGGTTTAGAAAGCTGGCTTTGTTATTCATAACAGATATTTTCTTAAAATCTATGAAAAACCACCTCCTCACCCAGCCAAACACACGTAAAGACTTGGTAGGAAAAAGCCCCTTCTCTCCCTTTTCCTTCCTGAATGTGGATAAGGCCCAGAGATGGCACAGCCCCCTCAACCGCAAGACAATAAACATGAACACAAAGGTCCACCTGGCAGACCATGTGAAGGGTGAAAGGAGCCACCTCATCACATCTGGATTTTTGCATAAAGGTTCCTGAGAGAGATCAGATTCAGCAACGATAGGAGGGTTTCTGTTACTGCGGCTGAATATACTTATAGTGGATACAAAGACGTAATTCTCACTTAAAAAAATCTAATTAGGCCGGGCACGGTGGCTCATGCCTGTAATCCCAGCACTTTGGGAGGCCAAGGTGGGCAGATCACAAGGTCAGGAGATAGACACTATCCTGGCTAACATGGTGAAACTCCGTCTCTACTAAAAATACAAAAAATTAGCCGGGCGTGGTGGCGGGCACCTGTGGTCCCAGCTACTCGGGAGACTGAGGCAGGAAAATGGCGTGAACCCAGGAGGCGGAGCTTGCAGTGAGTCGAGATCACACCACTGCACTCTAGCCTGAGCAACAGAGTGAGACTCCATCTCAAAAAACAAAACAAAACAAAACAAAAACCAAATTAACAGCTAGGAAGAAAATCGACACTGATCTCTCACATATCCTAAAAAGAACCTCAATGATAAGCTTACATTTTTGTTTTCCTCAACTGAGAATGATAAATATCACATACTATAAAAAGAGGGGTGACAGGGGTGAAACTCCAGATTTCAAAGTCAAAAAAAGTGAGACAAGTCTAGGACAGAAAAATGTAACACCAGACAATTACGGTCTAATAGGGCTTTAGCTAATATTTCCAATAAGTCAATTTCAACTGTCAGTGAGAAAAATAAAGTTTATTTCTTATGCAGAAGTAATTCCAATTCAGGTTTTAAGTCTGAACCTTCAAACTTGGGAAGCTTTTTTCCAAGTCATTAGCAAGTGCCTTATCAACTTCATGTAGGATTTTAATAAAATCTTCCACCTATGAGTCAAACAAACAAAAAAATCAAACACAGAAGAGAAAAACGTGGTTTAAGGTACTGATTGCTCTACCTGTGGTTTCTAAATGGTCCAATGGAAAAGAAATGCTGGCAGATCTCCAGATGACAGTAACAGTACTTCCTAAGCAGTCTTCTAAATCATTCTCAAGGAAATGACTATTCTTTCCCATTCCATTTTACTCTTAAGCTAGTACTTCTCCCCCTGCCTCCTCTTTACAGTCTGTTCCCACATTCTGTCCTTCATTTTCCTGAAAAAGTTCTTATTGTGAAATATGATTCTAATGGTAGGAAATGTGATGTCATGTGAAGAACCACAAAAACCTACTGCCTATTCCCAAGAATCTGATTTTGGTTTAATACAGATGCTATCTACTTCATAACAGAAAGGAGTACTATAGATTCAGAGCTGAATTTTTCCTCTTAGAATTGTTACTCCCAATAGTAGTACAAATTTTCCAGTAGTCATCCTTTTTTCCTCCAACCTTTATTGTAGACTCAGGGGGATCTAAATGTTTACATGTGCAGGTTTGGTACAAAGGTATATCACATGATGCTGAAGTTTGAGGCACAGATGAACCTGTCACCCAGGCAGTGAGCTTAGTACCCAATAGGTAGTTTTTCAGCCCTTGCCCTCCCTCTCTTTTTCCCCCTCCTCCTGTAGTCCCCAGTGTCTACTTTTCCCATTTTTATGTCCATGGTATCCAATGGTTTTAGCTCCCACTTCTAAGTGAGAACATATGGTATTTGGTTTTCTGTTTCCAGCAGTCATCTATCTGACAAAGGCATTAAGTCATATAAATTGTATATACTATAATTTTTGACAATGACCTCGAAATCAAGTGCTTACTTGAAAACATTCAGTAATCCTACAAAACTTGGCTGCCTATACATTTACCCATACTCACCACAGGGCTATAGAAAGGAAGAAGGTTTTGAAATGCAGAGGAACACTTCTGTTTGCTCAATTGGCCTTCCTTTACTCCCTGAGCCACCGTCTCCTAAAACAACAACATTTAATGTCAAAAAAGGGAAATTTTTTAAAGCTTTAACTAGTGAATAAAAACAAATTAGGATATTCAATTCCCTCCTGACTTCATAGGCATTTCAAATGTCCCAACTGAACCCATCGACATCAAGGAGGCTTATGTAACTCAAACGTGTTCTGTCGTCTTTATTTTAGTGAAGGACACCACCATCCACCCTGCTACACAGACTACAAACTTGGAACACAATGAAGACTGTTCCCTCCCCTCTCCTGCTGACCCCTCCCGGCAAGTGCTCAATTCTATTCTACCAAATCTCTCTTACCCCTTCCTCTCCATTCAAACTTCCATTGTTTAGACTGCCATCCTTTTTCAGATTATTCTTGAAGATTACCAACCACAAGAGCCTGTTAGTTGATCTCCTGCCCTCCAGCCTCAACTCTCTCTACTCCTTCCTCTCTATTGCTTTTGGAGTAATCTTTCTAAACTGATCGTATCACTTGGTGCTTAAAAGAAAAAAAATCTTTAGTAGCTCCTCAGTTTCTTCAAGATTAAGTCCAAATCCCCTAAACATGGCATATAAAAATTTGCATGACATAGCCCTAGTGTATCCTCAGCTCACCTTTCTTTGATGTTCCTACCACTTAAAAGTAGGTGCTCCAAAAAACAAAAGCAAGAGCAAAGAATGGGAAAAAAGACATGTGATAAATATGGAAAAGATGCATTATTACCCAAGAAATTCATACAAATGGATAAATTATAAAAAAGGATAAATTTTTAATTGGATAATTAAAAATTATCCAATTAATTATCCAATTAATAATTATTTATCCAATAATTTAAAATTATCCAATTAAATCAAATGGATAAATTATAAATGGATAAATTTATAATCAAAATGGATACATTATAAAAAAGTAGGAAACAAAATATACAACATCCAAATATTTCAATCTCATTAATTTAAAAATGCAAATCAAAATAAGACACAATTTATTACCTGAACTTTGACATAAAAATTATAATACCCAATAATAAGGGTCAAGTAAAAACCAACATTTCACATGTAAATAGTATTGTGACAAAATATGGCCATTATGCCTTAGCCATCTTCACATTTATAATGTTGAATCCAGTAATTTAAATTCTGTAAAACCTGCTGAGGTAATAACCCCAAATCTGGAAAATACAAATAGGGAAAAGGGAAGCAAGACAACTAATAAAAAAAAAAATCACCAGAATAAGAGAAACCTTTTGTTTCATTTTGTTTTTTGAGATAGGGTCTCACTTTGTCACTCAGGTTGGAGTGCAATCCTTCCATCCCTGCCTCCCAAGTAGCTGGGATCACAGGCATGTGCCACCATACCCGGCTAATTTTTGTATTTTTTGTAGAGATGAGGTTTTGCCATGTTGCCCAAACTGGTCTCAAACTCCTGGGCTCAAGTTGATCCACCTGCCTCAGCCTCCCAAGTGCTGGGATTATGGGCGCCTGGCCAAGAGAAACTTCTTAAGGAATACTCTTTAAAAAATTCAGTGGGTATGAATAAATATATTCTTCACAGCTATATTTGTAGCATTTTATATTCATAATACAATATATTCATAACATATTCATAATATATTTCTTTCCAAATATATGGATAGAAAAAAATATGGCCAAAGGAGGAATGTTAATAACCACTGAACATATTCAGGGAGAATATTCCTTAAGAAAAGTTTGCAGTAAATTTTGAAAACTGATTATTTGGTAAATTAGGTTTAAACTGGCTCTCAGTAAAAAGTCTTTCATCTAGAATCAAGAAAAATGCTTATAATATAGTGTTAAGGGAAAACAGTAGTCTATAAAAATTGCATATGCTGGGTTAAAGTATAGGAAACATGCATTTATAAAAATACATGCATGCAAACATATGCATATGTTTGTCATACATAAATATACCAAACCACATCAGCTAGCAGTTTTTAAGATTATAAACTCATGGTGATATTAAGATTTTACTTTATTTTCCCAAAATATATATTACTTTCATATTAAAAAAACAGTAATAAAGTTGGAGAGTTAAGCAACCCACACTTTCTTTTGTTCATGACATCATCAATACTTCTTCCCTACCTTTGTTAATGCCTGAAAAATATTAGAAAGAAATTCACATAAAATATCCTTTAAGATTTTCAAGTGGAAATCATCTTGGGTTAAATCAGTCTTTTTAGTTTCTTCTGTGTTAGACTCTGTCGAGTTCTCTGGTTTTTTCTGACACTGTTCCATATTTTGTAAGACCCGAATGAGGCTGTCAATTAGAGGAAGATCTACTGTATAAACAAATCAAGAAACATTGAATTGGCCAGTTAAGTTTGGTTTTTCATTCATATGTATTGCATTAGTGCTAGACATTATTATTTTGGGTACTACAGATACAGTGGTAACATCAGCAAGATGTCAGCCTGTAAGAGGCTTACATTTTTATACTTTCAAATAAGTAAATATAATAGACTATTTTAGGTTTTGGTTAGGTTCTATGAAGGAAATAAAAGAGGAATATAGCAGTCTAGCAGGGCAAGCTCTCTGACAAGGTGACATTGAGTTGAGAACTAAAGCAATGAAGACTCAGCAATCAAATGAGCCTAGGAGGACAGGGGTGGTAGCTTACGCTTGCAATCTCAGCACTTTGAGAGGCCAAGATGGGCGGGTAGCTTGAGCCCAGGAGTTCGAGACCAGCCTGAGCAACATGGCGAAACCGTGTCTTTACAAAAAGTATACAAAAATTAGCTCACGAGATTTTTCTACCACTACCACTGTTAACATCTTGGTCCAAGTTATAACATTTCTTGCTATGAGTTAATTATCAAGAATCTCTAAAAGCCTCCTAACTCATCTCCCTTTTGTACCAATGACTCCTACATTTCTCATCAAAACAGCAGCCTATTAAAGTCAGCTCATGTGTATTCAACTTCTGCTTAAAACTCACCATGATTCCCTACCTCATTTAGAGGAAAAGGCAAAATCAGGCTCTCCATACTCTACCTCTTTGGCTCCATGTGCTACTTTGCTAAATCCACCCCAGCCACACGGGATCTCACTGTTCCCCCTCAAATATACCAGGCATACTTCTGGTTGAGGGCTTTTACACTTTCTATTCCATCTGTCTGGAATGTTTTCTCCCCAAGTATGCACATGACTCCTCCATTCTCTCCCTAAGGACTGTACTCAATGCCACCTTCTCAATGAGGTAACATATTTATAAATGAAGATCTTAAAAATATTCAATATTCTTTTTTATTAAAAAGTCTTAATAAAATAGAAACAGATTAATATTTCCTTAAATGGTAAGATATATATCTTATTTTTAGGGGGGCAAGGGGATGCAGAGTCTTGTTCTGTTGCCCAGGCTGGAGTGCAAAGGCGTCATTTCGACTCACTGCAGCCTCCGCCTCCCAGGTTCAAGCAAATCTCCTGCCTCAGCCTTCCAAGTAGCTGAGATTACAGGCGCATGCCACCAAACCTGGCTAATTTTTGTATTTTTAGCAGAGACAGGGTTTCACCATGTTGGCCAGGCTGACTTTGAACTCCTGACCTCAGGTAATCTGCCCACCTCAGCCACCCAAAGTGCTGGGATTATAGGTGTGAGACACCGCACCTGGTTGTAAAACATGTATCTTATACCCAATAATGCTTAACAGTGGAACTCTAGGATTATTTCTAATAAAATCAGGAAGAAGGTAAGGATGTTTTCTACCATCACTATTATTTTACACCAGAGATTCTAGGCAACCCAGAAAGATAAGAATAAACCAGAGATAGACAAGTGATAAAATATATCTAATTTAAGCCAAAGCACTATCACATAAAGCCCAAAGATTATTACTAGAACGAGTACTAAAAACAGTAAGAATTTGGTAAGGTTACAGGATGCAAAGTTAATATATAGCAATCAATAGCCTTCATATATTCCAACAACAATAATCAGTGGAAGAAAATATGTCAGAGATAATAGTAAACCCAAAAGATAAAATATCTAGGAATGAAACTAATAAGAAATATCCAAGATCTATATGAAGAAACCATTACTGAGGGACACACAAAAGACCTGAACAAATGAAAGGGCATAACATATTCTTAGATATTCTATAAAGTTAACACGATGTCAATAAAAATATCAGAAAGTTTTTGTTTTTGGAACTTAAAGTTAGTGATAAGAATAGTTAAAAACATTCTGAAAACTTAGAATGAAGAGGAATTCGCCTTATTAAGTATTAAAACATAAAACCTTAATATTTAAAAACACTATGGCTACTAATATATGAACATAGTAATGGAACTGAATAGAATATATAGGGGAATTTTAAAAATAATGATGAAATTTCAAATCAGTGTGAGTAAGCTGGATTACTGACTAAACGATGTTGAGATAACTGGGTAGCCCTCTGGAAAAAAAATTGATACCACTAGTACCAAAGTTATCAAAGGGGGAAAAAAGAATTAAAGCCACACTTCACATGTGACACCAGAATAAATTCTAAATGAATCATGAATTTAATTGTGGACATAAAAATCATTCTGTGAAAGACTATGTGTTTACATAGGAAAATATTCATTTTATATTTCTAAATGAAATGTTGGCTAAAAAGCAGAATTAAATATATGTGCATGTGTTGGATGATAAGATTACAGACATCATGTTTCCTTGATATTTTTTATAAGTTTTTAGGTAGGGTGCAGAGGCTCATGCCTGTAATCCCAGCACTCTGGAAGGCAAGGCAGGAGGGTCATTTGAGCCCAGGAGTTTGTGACAAGCCTGGGCAAGATTGTGAGACCCTGTCTCTATAAAAAATTTAAAAACTAGCCAGGTGTGGTGTCATGTGGCTGTAGTCCCAGCTACTCAGAAGGCTGAGGTGAGACAAACACCTGAGCCCAGGAATTCAAGGTTGCAGTGAGCTATGATCCTGCCATGGCACTATAGCCTAGGCGACAAAATAAGACTCTGTCTTTATTATAAGTAAATAGGCCAGGTGGGGTGGCTCACACCTGTAATCCTAGCACGCTGGGAGGCCGAGGCGGGTGGATCACCTGAGCTCAGGAGTTCCAGCCCAGCCTGGCCAACATGGTGAAACGCTGTCTCTACTGAAACAATACAAAAATTAGCTGGGCACAGTGGTGTGTGCCTGTAATCCCAGCTACTTGGGAGGCTAAGGCACGAGAATCACTTGAATCCAGGAGGCAAAGGTTACAGTGAGCCAAGATCGTACCACCACACTCCAGCCTGGGCAGCAGAGCAAGACTCTGTTTCCAAAAAATAAAAATAAAAATAAATAAAAAGTAAAATAAGTAAATAAATACAATAATAAAATAAATTTTTGAAGTTTAGCATATTTTTATAACTAGGGAAATGAAAGTGTTTTTTAAAAGGGAGAAATCAATGAAATGAAAAACAATATGAGCCTAGGAAATTGTACTTGCCTTTTTCTATCTTTAGATACTCTTGCTCAGTCTGTGAGGCATAAATGGCAGACAACACTGAAAAAACAGAGGCTAGCACTGTTTTCTGTTCTTGAAGAATGATGGGTGGATCATCAGACTGGCAGAATTCATGGCAGACCAGGTCAAAAAGTAAATTCCAAATGTCTTTTCCAGTGTCAGGACAATGTACTTAATAAAGACAACAAATAAAGCAGTACTTTAAAATCAGCAAACAATTAAATGAGTAACTGTAGCGCTTCCAATAAACCATCTTACCAATTGCTTGAATTCCATCATCCACTGTAGTAAGCAGTTGTAAAATATGCATGTAAACATCAAGCCATTCTGGATTTTCAGAACTAAACAGGAAAAGTAAAAGCACTGAATCAACGTTACTGTCCAGGGGATTCCAATCATTCATCCATTCAATAAATATTTATTACTCTGCCAGCCACTGTTCAAGGTGCTGAGGATAAAACAAGGAAAGGAACAAAGGCTCTGTGCTCGTTAGAGCTTTTATATTCTAATAGGGGAAACAGCAAAAAATAAACATTATATAAAATAATCAACACACACAGGACAAGAAGTAAAAAAATCTTTTTGGTTCTATCTCATAAAAGCAACAATGCAGAAACCTGCTAGTTGATACTTTATCATTTTGGTTTGCTTGAATAATCAGAACAAAAAATGACTGCGATTTTTATAGTATAAATGTAAGGTCCACTGCACCATGCATCAACAAAAATGATGTTCTGAAAACATCTCAGGATTATCCTAGCCCCCTAGCTGAGAATACTAAAAGCATATAAGTCTAATTCTTATGATCAACCATTTGGATTCTCAAAAATCTAAATAGTTTGGAAACTCAAAATCTTAGTTCTTCAACCAAGCAAGTGAAAAGACAGTGAACAATTAAAACAATGGTTTGGCAAATGTTTATTTAAGTACTTACAAATTAAATTTCAGGCACTATGTTAGGAGTTGAGAAAACAGATGTATAAGATGTTATCCCTATCTTCATAAAATTTGTACTTTAAAAGGAAAGAAGATTGCTAGCGGGGTAATTACAATAAAGTGGTATGAATGTAACACTATAGGGCTAGTAGCCACTATATAGCAAGGAGACTTAGTTTGCAGGGTCAGGGAAGGTACCTTAAGAAAAATGATGTTTACACAGAAACATGAAGGGGCAAAGAAGTACGTGAGGTGGAGGAAACATACTGTGCAAAGGCCTGGAGACAAGAGAGCTGGTTCAGTTGAAGAAGTGAAGCAAACTTCACATGACTGAAACGCAGAGTACAAGGAATGAGGATAGTACTACTGGGCCTATAAGCTGCACTTTATTTTTCTGAGAATTTTTCATTTATTTCATTCTTTTTTCCCCTATTTTATTTATTTATATTTTGGATTCAGAAGGTACATGTTGGGGGTTGTTACATGCATGGTGCTGAGGTTTGGGAATACGGATGGTCCCATCACCCAGGTGATGTACACAGTACCTAAGCTGTGTTTGTGTTTGTTTTTGTTTTTTTCTGGACCTTATCCTAAGGAAGGTAACTGAAAAGACTGAAGCATGAGAGTGAGACGAGTACGTACTTTGCAAAAACAGCTTTAAAGTCTAGGCTTGGGAAAAGCAAGCATAGAGGCAGCGAATTCAAGTAAAAGAATGTGGCAGTTCTCCAGATGAGAGACAATAATGGCTTGACTGGCATGGATGGAATCCCAGAAAAAGTCAGGAATAAGGGTTGGGAGTTGACTACAATGGGAAAGTACTAGGGCAGGAAAGATTCTGTAACGGCTTCTCCATTTCTTCTGTATTATCCAAACAGGACAGTGATTACATCATTTACTGAGATTGAGAATACTGATGAAGCAGGTTTAGGGAAAGATGATGAATTTAATCCTCACTTGGATAAAGGACACAAAATTAATAGGTTTTGATGTGGCTTACTCAGCACTAAGAATGCACTAAGCAAATCACTAAGCAGATCAATTTAAAAATTAATTTTCTAGTGATTAGCAATAAACAGTTTTAATGACCTGTAAGGCTTAGTAATCACTCTTGACAAGACATCAGAGTCCCAAAATCAGTCACTTATTGAAGACTGGCATATAAACACAAGGAGCAAAAAAAAAAAAAGATGTGCAACGTTAATTAAGAAGTTGTTAAATGTTCAACGTAAAAGCACAAGAAAATGTTTTCTCTTTGGTTTAAATTACATAAAATATGATAAGACAGAAACCACAGTTAATGTTGAATAACAGCCTACAGCCAAATGATAATGTAACAGGAAGTTTGTAACCACTATCATTCTTGTAAAAAGCATACAGGTTGCATCACAAATATTAGTAGTGAATTAACGTAACAAGGAGTGACTGTGTACTTTATTCTGTTGTAAGGAATCTAAGAAGACTTTTATATCTGAGAATACTTCTATCAATTGCATTTTCCCAGAGCACTTTGCACGAAAGAGCTCACCTACCGTACTTGTTTGGCAGCTTCGAGTATACAGGGCACGAGCCGAAACACTGGCTGCTCTTCAGACTCTTCCTGGGGTTGGTCCAGAGGCTGAGTAGCCCCATTTCTGACCCATTCCAACATTAGTTTCTCATCCAAATCAAAGAGCTTGTCTACAACCTCCCCCACCTTCACCAGCAAGTCAACTGCAGAGAATAAAACAAATATTGAAATAAAAACAAATTGCTAAAAGCAATAGGGTTAAGCAAAATTCCTACAGCTATTCTAACAAAACCAAACCTTGCCAAAGCAGTACTTATTCTAAAGGGTGATTTACTTATCTCACATGTTTAAATTTGCGTATTTTTCCTCATTTTTAAATGAGGAATTCATCAGTGTCCCAGGAATTTAAGAAATTTTATATCTTCAATCAAAAAACTTTCTCCAAAAAACAAACAAACAAAAAGCTGGGCATGGTGGCTTACACCTGTAATCCCAACACTTTTGGGAGGCCAAGGCTAGATGACTGCTTGAACACACGAGTTCGAAACCAGCCTGGGCAAGAAAGTGAGACTCCACCTCTACAAAAAATTTTAAAATGAGCTGAGCATGGCAGTGCACAACGATAGTCCCAGCTATTGGGGAGATTAACAGAAGGACACCTTGAGCCTAGGAGTTTGAGGCTGTAGTGGGCTATGATCACACTACTGCACTCCAACCTGGGTGACAGAGCAAGATTCTGTCTCAAACTAACAAACTTTATTACCTTGCACCCAAAGCTTTTTCCAAAAAGGTGACTTCTAGAAATAGTTACATGGTTTCCTAAAAATTAAATAAAATTTAAAACTTTTTTTTTTTCTAGACTACATGATGACTTACCATTTGTTGAACTTGACATAATGAAGCAAATGCTATCATAAATCGCTGGATGTTCCCGGATCCTTTCAACCCAAACACTGGCCACTTCTGCCTGGGAAAGGCAAGTAAGCAACAACCTACATGGCAAACGTGGGTTGAATTTCTACTTTTCAAAAAAAAATAAAACAGTAAAGGAAATTCGAAAATAAAAAATTAGCTTTTTTTATTAGCTACTCTTATGAGTAACCTTACAGAATTCATAAAAGGAAAAGCATACCTGCTTGTTTCCAGCAGAGTAGGTGGGTCTGAATCATACAAACAGTGCAATAATACCTGCCTACAAAAACAAAGAAGTTAACCGATATGCCTCACTTCCTGCATTTAAAATATCCGAGTTTTCATTTAAGTTTTTTAACATCTTTATTGTGAAATACAGCATGTATTCAGAAAAGCCCAAAAGATACAAATCTACAGTTAATAAATAATTATAAAGCAAACATTCGTGTTTCCAAGAAACAGAACAGAGCTGCATCTCAGTAGTCACCATGTGTCCATTCCAAATCACAATTCTCTTTCCCACCTAGAAATGATGACCATTCTGATTTTTCCAGCAATCATTTCTTTACTTTGCTCTATAGTTTTATTATTTTATATATTTTGCTGTTGCTTTATACTGCAGGTAAAAGGATTAAGAGGACATGCTGAATAAATAGACATAATCTGGGAGGTTATTCGGATTCATGAAGATGGTCAAGGAGGGGAGACAACATATGAAATAAATTATATTATACTTATTCTTTTGAGTCTTCATTTATTTGCTGGAAACTACACATGTAAGATCCACCCATGTTGTTTCTTTAGCTGTTATTCTTTGACAGATTGCTGCAGAGTACTCCATTGTGTGAAAATAACACAATTTATTTTTCCAGACTACTGCTGATGGCCATTTGCATTGATTCCAATTTGGGGCTATTTCAAGTTATCCTCCTATAATATTTGTAAGAGTTATCCTGATGCACATGTGCACAGTTTCTCTTACCACATATGCCCACTATGAGCTGGTCACAGCACATGCATATGTTCCAACGTGACCAGATAACGCCCAACTATTCTAAAGTGGTTCACAAATTTATATCCCATCAGCAAAATAACTTGCACCATACTAATATCAAGATAAGCATTTACTTGAATTTATAACATTTGTTAACATTTCTCATTCCTGGAGTTTTGATAGAGAACATTATAGAGACCAAACATAATCCTAAGTCATTTGCTCCATGGATGACTGTAAATTACTGAGGAATAAATACTCTGACCTAGGATCTTAAAGTCCCTCCACAACTAGGAGTTATCTCTTTCTGAGAAACCCAGGTTCTTGAATCCTGTGATAAAACCCTCATGGCCCCAGCTCTGACAAAAACTGCCTAGAACAGTTTTCTTAACCTATTTGGGTACAAATTTCTTTGAGATTCTGATTAACAGCCATGAACCCTTTGCCTAGAAAACTAATACACCCACAAAATTTAGCATATAATTTCAGGGTGTTCTCAGAACACAGTAACCAAACTTGGGTTTCCTCTGTTAAAAAACCTTCTGCCCAGAACTTTACACATGGAGAAGAGAACTAGCCTCGAAGCAGAAATCTGAGTCTTTTCATCACAGAGGCAACTCTTTATCTTCTAGTTTGTTGGCAAGTCTTATCCTCTAAGTCAGAGCTCTCAGGATGACATTATTCAACAAATCTAGTTTCTGCAGACTCCAGCTGAGTCACTGGATTCCCTGCACCTAAAATGTTTTGGATTCCAGTTGGCTGCCCCATCTCCAAGTTTTGTCCCACTGGTTCTTCCCCTATCTGGCTTACTGCCACCAGCTGACAATTCAGGTTCCTTTGCTACTGAAGAAAACAGGTTTAAATCCTGAATTAGTTCAGTACCTCCTGAAGAAGCCCCTAGCTACCATCAACACACAATGAAGTTCCTAGAGAGTATTCATCAAGACAAAGAAAAGACTGTCTTTCAGATTTGCTACTTTTCCTAAGACGAATTTCCTTAAGGATATAAAAGAATATGTTTAAAAACATAATTATATAGTAAGACTTACCCAAGATTTTTATCACTGCTGATGGACACACATATCTCCTGGAAACAGGCCATATTACCTAAAATTCCCACACAGATTTCCTGCCAAATCAAATTTTACAAGTCACAATGGCTCTGAGATGAAAGACATAAACAAAAATATCAACTTGAACAAAAACTTTCACTGAGCCAACTTTTGGGGTAAGGCAGAGGGGAGGCAGGATAAAGAAATACATATACTGCCTGTACCCTAACCTTGACAAGCTTACAGTATTTGAGAAGGGATGAAAGACATAAGAACAAGAAAGGGCAAAGGCAGGAGCTATGGAAGAAGAACTCCTATCGATAAAACGAGTGTTAAATGATTGATAGGATTGAGATACGCAAACAAAAAGACAGACATTCAAATAAGGAGACAGTATCAGCAAAGGCAGGAAGGGAATCATGTACGTGGCGAAGACGGTAGACAATAAAGTACTCCGGTTGTGGCACAAAGTGGGTGAACAGCATGAGGTAAATACTGCAGGTATAAAGGACTGAGATTAAGGGCTTGCCGTGCTGAAGATTTAGATTTAATCTGGGAAGTTATTTGGAATCATGAAGATGCTCAAGGAGGGGAGACAACATACTGAAACAGTATCTTAGAAAGATTATTCTGGTGGCAAAATGCATAATCAATTAGCGTAGCCCCTCTTTATCCACGGTATCAGTTACCCATGGTCAACCTTGGTATAAAAGTACTAAATGGAAAAGTCCAGAAATAAACAATTCATGTTTTAAATTGCATGCCTTTCTGAGTAGCATGATGAAATCTTGCACCGTCTCACCCGGGATGTGACTCATTCTTTTGTTCAACATATCCACACTGTATACGCTGCCTGCCCATTAGTTACTTAGTAGCCATTTGGCTATCAGATCGACCATCATGGTATCTCACAGGGCTTGTGTTCTTGTCACCCTTATTTTACTTAATAATGGCCCCAAAGCACAAGAGTAGCGATGCTGGCCATTTGGATATGTCAAGGAGCCACCATTAAGTGCTTTCTTTACATGAAAAGGTGAAAGTTCTTGACTTCATAAGAAAAACATACAAAAATGTATGCTGAGGTTGCTTAGGATCTCTAAGAACAAATCTATCCATGAAATTGTGAAGAAGGAAAAGGAAATTTGTGCATATTATAAATAGGGTTCAGTTCTATCCTTGGTTTTAGGCATTGGGGGCCTTGGAATGTATCTCCCAAGGATAAGGGGAGACTAGTGCATAGGGAAAAGACATTGAAAAGAATTTAAGAATCTCAGTAATAGTTAATTAATATGCAATAACATTTATTACCACTCATTATGGCCAGGCATTACTCTAAGCATTTTCCGTGTATAATTTCATATAATAACTTAGGTGAAAGGTACTAATAGTATCCCCATTTTTTCAGATGAGGAAACTAAGGCACAGAGAAGTTAAGCTACTTGCCTAAGATCTTGAGCTCTCCAACTAGAACGTGGCAGAGCTCCAGAGCTTGAGCATTTAACCACTATTCCAAACTGCACCTCAGTTATCAAGACGCAAGAGGAGGAGGGCCCTCAGGCATGGAAAAGGATGAAGCTGAGGAAGACTCTCAAGGTGAAAGCAAAATAATCCAACGTGAGGATGAGGGAGAAAGCAGCTGAACTTGACTCCTAGCTTTCAAGTTGCCTCATTTTCCCAGTCAGTGATATTGGTCCCATTGACAGGAAAACTAAAAAAGAAAGTGCATAAAAGGCTACAATGAGTTCAGATGGTACGGTGTTTCCAAGCTTGCTGGAACGTAACAATCACTCAGGGAGCTTGTTAAAAATACAGATTTCCAAATCTCATCTCAGATCTACTGAATTATAATTTCCAGGGTACAGCCTGGAAAGCTATTGTTTACCCAGCATATACCAGGTGACTTTTATGATCAGATAAGCGTGACCATAAATCACTGAGGACATACACAATTCAGGGTTAGAGAGCACAGCTGACCCTTGAACAACACAGGTTTCAATGTGTTGGTCCAATTAGAAGTGGATTTTTTCTAACCAAACTTGGAATGAAAATACAGTGTCCTCAAGATGCAAAACCTGTGTAATATGCAGAGCTGACTTTTCATACACACAGGTTCCACAGAGCTGACTGCAGAATTGAGTATGTGCGGATTTCAGTATGGGGGAATGTCTTGCAACCATCCCCCATGTATGCCAAGGGACAACTGTACAGCATGCAAGCAGAGAATGCCTGAAGAAAGTTGGAGATGTGACATCAGTTATCAGAAGGGAAGTCAAGGCTTTGCTCCTACAGGCGAGTTGCAACTTAAAGGTGTAAAGAAAACACATAAGTTCACTAGGAAAATGAATATAACGAGAGCAAAGGATCAGGCCTACACCTTACAAAAAGTCCATATTCGGGACAGTATAAAAAAGGAAGAAAGAAAAAAGCCAATGAAAGGTGAGAGAAGAGTGACTCAAGAGGTCAGAGACGACAGTGAGATGACACAGGAGCTACAGAAATGGAGTTTCAAAAAAAATGTGGGTGGTCAAATGTTGGGAAAAGATTAAGAGTGAGTAGGGGCAGGAAAAAACCACATACATTTCCCTTATAAACTAAAGAGGGAATAACTGAACTTCCAATCAAAGATCAAGTTTTTCTGTCTTCGCTGCTCACTGGAATCACCTGGGGAACTTTAAAAGCTGGCCAAAGTCTCACACTTGGAGATTCTGCTTTAACTCATCTAGGGTATGGCCTGACTCAAGATTTTCAAAAGTTCCCTAGGGCAAAGCTTCTCAGAGTCTGGCAAGGCTCCAGAGCACCAGCATCACCTGGGAACATATTACGAATCCTGGACCTACTGGACTAGAAACTCTGGAGGGGGGCTTGGCAATTAGTGATGCGGGGACATGCTTAAGTTTGAGAGCCCATGTCCCAGGTGATTCTAACATGCAGCCAAGGCTGAGAATCACTGTGGCAGCAGACGGTGGCCAGCGGATATATACAACAATATGACTAAATCCTAAAAGGTGCCATTCCTGACATAAGCTTATTCTTTATACACTAGTAGTGAGTAAATATATTTAAGACAGAAAAACTCAGTACAAAAATAGCATAATCGTCAAATCTTACATTAATATAAGGAACCAAGGAAAAAATGGTTAATCAGGCCCTAATTCAGACAGAACATTCTACTTAAATAAGAATTTTAATTCAACATTCAATTTGTAACAACACACTACGGAATTCTCCATTTTATAATCTGAAAGAGAGGAAATACAGTACAGTGGTTATACTGGAGTCAGGCCTAGGGTGAAATCTCAGCTCCATTCTTTTCTAGTTGTGTGACCTGAACACATATCTTCACCCAAGATCTAGTTCTTTAAAAGTATACCTCATAGTAGTAAGACCAGGTATTCAGTAAACAGCAGTTTTTCATAATTATAATTATTGAACGATATTTACTAATCCGTGTATGCACAGCACATGGCAATTTAATTGGCAATAAAGCACAGTACACTGTACAGTATATAAAGTCCTCTCCTTTAGTCTTTATCTATTGTTCTTGGCAGTTTACTAACAGCAATGACCACTGAAAGCTTACTTACTTACTTGGGAAGGTGTGGAAGGAAAAGTACCACTGTGAATAACAGATGCAAATACTGAGAGGGGACAGAAGGCACCCAAAGGGAGGCACGGAGACAGCGTGAGACAGGGAGTAGAAAGGCCTGGCTAAATCAGAAGGGTTACCTGGTTATCCAGATTTTATGCTGGAAAGATGAGTTAGGTTCAGAAAGTAGAAGTCTTGAGCAGCAGGCTGAGTTTAGAATAGTTTTCAAACAATGGTGGATTTTGTCAGTAAAAAAGAGCAATCCACTGAAAAATGGGAGGCCCGGGTTCTGCTCCTTGCTCTGATACATACTAGCAGTATAACAGTGGTTATGCCTAACTCATCTCCACAGCTGTTAAATGAAAGTGCTAATTTCCCTGGTCCAGCCTGAATCTATAATTCTATGATTCTAATAATTTTAAATTATTAAATTATTAATAATTTAATATTTTAAATTATTACAGGCATGTAGCTCATGCTTATAATCCCAGCACTTTGGGAGGCCAAGGTGGGAGGATCACTTGAGGCCAGGAGTTCAAGACCACCCTGAGCAACATAAGGAGACCCCTGTCTTCACAAAATAAAAATGAAAATTAGCTGGGTGTGGTGGCTTACACCTATAGTCCCAGTTACTTGGGAGGCTGAGGTGGGAGGGTCCCTTGAGCCCAGGAAGTCAAGACTGCAGTGAGCTGTGCTCATGCCACTGTACTCTAAGCCTTGGAGACATAGTGAGACCCTGTCTCAAAAATAAAATAAAAAAAATTTAAATAGCAAATTACCTAGGACCTGGCAATGTTCAATTAACATCTACAGGCTGATTTGTTGATTTACAGTCAGTAAGAAAATCAAAGTGAGAAAAATAAATGACCATCCAGCACTATCTGTTCTTATTGCTTCAAAGAAGAAGGCTTTAGAAATGCACATACTTACTCTTAATCGAGGACACTTGGACTTGGCCAGTACTCCCATGAATATATCAGGAGCATTAAATTCTTGGAGAAATAAAGCCACATCCTGAAAAGAAAAATGATTATTGGCGTGGATACTGAATATTCTTCCCCTAAACCCCAAAGCTTAGGCAACCATAAAATTCTATATTAAAATGAGAATTTTAGGCCAGGCGCAGTGGCTCACACCTGCAATCCTAGCACTTCGGGAGGCCAAGGCTGGCAGAGTGCCTGAGCTCAGGAGTTCACGACCAGCCTGGGCAACACGGTGAAACTCCGTCTCTACTAAAAATACAAAAAAACTAGCTGGGTGTGGCAGCGAGCACCTGTAGTCCCAGCTACTCAGGAGGCTGAGGCAGGTGAATCGCTTGAACCCGGGAGGTGGAGGTTGCAGTGAGGTGAGATTGCGCCACTGCACTCCAGCCTGGGCGACAGAGCAAGACTCTGTCTCCAAAAAACATTAAAAAATAAAATAAAATTAGAATTTTAGACACAAGGAAAAAAAAAACCACAGGCTTAGGAACTGTGTCAACAGACAAAAGTGATACTAGAGAGTCTTTATGATAACTGGTCCCAGACAATGGAACAATTTTGTAAACAAATCTAAACTACCTACAATACTCCAGAGGATTATCCCACTCTTTTCTGCCCCGAATCTATTTACCTTAATAATGTTTCTGCCCACTAGGAATTCTCATTAAACACATTCAAACACATTTGGTGATTACCTATCAAGTATTAAGCTAGAACTGGGGGACAAGGGAAAAAAGCAACACGCTGGGCACAGTGGCTCACACCTGTAATCCTAACACTTTGGGAGGCTGGTTAGAAAGCTGAGGTTGGTGGATCACTTGAGCCCAGGAGTTTGAGACCAGCTTGGGCAAACATGGTGAAAACCCATATCCACAAAAAATACAAAAATTAGCCAGGTGTGGTGGCACATGCCTGCAGTCCCAGCTACTTGGGAGGCTGAGGTGGGAGGATCACTTGAGCCTGGGGGGGTCGAGGTTGCAGTGAGCCATGACTTTGCCACTGTACTCCAGCCTGGGCAACACAGTGAGAATAAAAGAGTAAAACTTGGCTGGGAGAGGTGGCTCATGCCTGTAATCCTAATACTTTGGGAGGCCAGGGCAGGCAGATCACTTGAGCCCAGGAGTTCGAGACCAGCCTAAGCAAACCTAGTGAAACACCATCTCTACAGAAAATACAAAAATTAGCTGGGCATGGTGGTGTACCATCTGTAGTCCCAGCTACTCAGGAGGCTGAGGTGGAAGGATTGCTTGAACCCGTGAGGCACAGGTTGCAGTAAGCTGAGATATCGCCATTGCACTCCAGCCTGTGCAACAGAGTGAGACTTTGTCACAAACAAAAACAAAATTCCTTCTTGTCCTCCAAGAGCTTAAAACACAGTAGGGGAAAGAAGTCAAGAACTGCTATAGGGTCCTGTCCAAAACCAGAACTTGTGTTTTCAAAATCATCAACAGAATAAAAATTCTGATGACAATGTAACTGTGGTAGCCTCATAACTTCTTCCTAGAGAGTCTGCCACAGTGCCTAAAGGGGCATAACATACAGGTGACATGTGAGTGGACATGTGGCCCCAAATGGCCCAAATCTCACCTAGGAATGTAAGACATAAAAGCTAAGTCAGTTTGCTTGGGGATCTGCAATGTAAAATATATAAATAAAATTAAGTTTCTGGCTGTCTACTGCTTCAGATTTTCACTAAATTTGAGGTGTATATTTGAGAAGCTTTAACTTAAAATATAAGCTGCATGCATTAAAGGGCCCTGGAACACCTCAAAGAGAGAGGCAATTATTCTCCACAGCAACTGAAACCAGGAACCTGCCAGACAACTGACTGGGAGAGACACACTCTACTTACTAAAAGACCATGGTCAGAGAAAATAGTATTTTCAAACATACACTCTAAACTGAAAGTCCTAACAGCAGATTCTCTTCACTGTAAGTGATCAAGCTGTCTGTCCTGTGGGCAATTCTTTGTCACAGGCAGAAATTTTTAAATTTAATGGTAATCCCTGGAGTAGCACAAGGGTGGCCTAACAATATCAATACCAACAGTAATAAAATTAACATTCATTGAACAAGTATTAAATGCCAGGCACAGTGAAGTGGCTTGCATGCTATCTCATTTAATTCTCAAAACAACTCTATCAACTAGTTAACATTATTAGTCCCATTACATTCATAAGCAAACTGAAGTTTAAAAAGTTCAGCAACCTGCCCAAGATTATACAGTCTCAGTAGAGCAAAGCTAGGATTTGAACCCACATGAGTCTGACTTGAGCCTATGGTCTTGCTTTTTAAAAGAGATGGGGGTCTTGCTATCCTGTCCATACTGCAGCAGTGGCTATTCACAGATTCACAGGCATTATCATAACTCACTGCAGCCTCCAACTACTGGGCTCAAGTGATCCTCCTGCCTCAGCCTTCCAAATAACTGGGAATATAGGCAAGTACCCAGCAAGACTATGTTTTTTTTTTTGAGACGGAGTCTCGCTTTTCACCCAGGCTGGAGTGCAGTGGCCGGATCGCAGCTCACTGCAAGCTCCGCCTCTCGGGTTTACGCCATTCTCCTGCCTCAGCCTCCCGAGTAGCTGGGACTACAGGTGCCCGCCACCTTGCCCGGCTAGTTTTTTGTGTTTTTAGTAGAGAAGGGGTTTCACCGGGTTAGCCAGGATGGTCTCTATCTCCTGACCTCGTCATCCGCCTGTCTTGGCCTCCCAAAGTGCTGGGATTACAGGCTTGAGCCACTGCGCCCAGCGAGACTATGTTCTTAACCACCACAAGATGCTACCTCTCAGGTATTCATCTATTCATTCACTACTCTCCAAATATTTTCTGAAAAACCTAATAGGCACTGTTTTAGGTTCTGGGAACACATCGGTGAACAAGCTAAATAAGGACTCAGTCCCAAGGAATTTTCTTTCTAAAGAAATGAACAAACAATAAATATATAAACAACTGAACTACACAATTTCTAAATGCTACAAAGAAAATAAGATGGTATGTGCTAGAAACCCAGATAAAGGGGGCTACTTTAGACATGACATTGAAGAAGGTATTTCAGAAGGGGTGACATTGTGCTTTGATGAGAAAGAATTTAAATCCATCAGAGGACACATGTAACAGAGTGAAGCAATTCTGTGGAAACACTGAAATAAGAGAGGTTAATTCTGACTGGAGTGTCTGGGGTGGCATCACAGAGGAGGTGACACTGAAGCTGGGCCATAAACAGTGAGAAGGATTTTGCCAGCTGGAAGCCATTCTTAACAGAGAGGCATGAATAGTACCCATGGACACGTGAAAGTGCAGGAAGTATCTATCTGGAGGTCTCTGGTCCTCACACACTGAATTCGTGGTTACAGAGCAATTAAGAGACAAGGCTGAGATATAAACTCACGAGACTTTGCACCAGGGACTTCAACGGTCAGTGGAGAGCTTAGTTCTGAGTGGTGCCTCAAAGGCACCTCTTGTAAGGGAGCAAAAGGAGGCCAAAGAACATGACTTCGCCGCGCACCAATAACCTCCTTCAAACAGCAGCACTGTTTTCTCAATTTTAAAACTGAGATTTTCACCCTAAGAGGTTCATTTAAAACACAGGTTTTATTTCTTTTTTAAAAAATGTAACCATAATTTATCAATAATCGTAGAAAAGTAGATCTGAACAATACTCTCAACCAACCTGATCTGACATTGGTAATAAGATACTCGACCCAGCAACAGCAGAACACACATGCTTTTTAAGTGAACATGTCTTTTAAGTGAACATGTCTTTTAAGTGATAGTAAAGACAAAGTAAAGACAAAGATAGATTGGTAAAGACAGACCATATTCTGGGCTATAAAACAAGTCTCAACACATTTAAAAGGATTCAGTATTCAACGACCATAGCAACAGAAAGATAACTGAAACATTCCCAAATATTTGAATCTTATGTATGAACCAAAGAAAAAGTAAAGAATATTAGAAAGTATTCTGAACTTCTGTGGGCATGGTGGCTCATGCCTGTAATTCCAGTACTTTGGGAGGCCGGGGCAGGCAGATCACTTGAGGCCAGGAGTTCAAGACCAGCCTGGCCAACATGGCAAAACCCCATCTCTACAAAAAGTACACAGCAAGACTCTGTCTCAAAAAAAGTTGTAAACACAGCATATCAGAATTTGTGGAATACTGGTAAAGCATAAATATTTAGGGAAAATTTTACAGTGCTAGATGTCTATCTTTAAAAAGAAAGATTTCAAAGTATAAAGTATGTGGACAACAGATTTTTGACAAAGATGCAAAAGCAATTAGTGGAGAAAAGATCATCTTTTCAACAAATGAACTAGAACAATTGAATATCCATAGGCAAAAAAATAAACTTCAACCCATCTTTGCACTATGCACTATACAAAAATCAACTCAAAATGGATCACAGACTTCTATGTAAAACCTAAAATTATAAAACTTTTAGAAGAAAATGTAAGAAAACAACATAATTAAAAAACAGGCAGAAGATTCAAACAGGTACGTCACCAAAAAAGATACACGGAGTACAAATAAACACATGAAAAGATACTCATCATTAGGAATTAAGGAAGTCCAAATTATAATCACAATGAGCTATCACTACACACTTATTAGCATGGCTAAAATTAAGAAGACTGACCATACTAAGTGTTGATGAGGATGAGGAGAAACTGGACCTGGAATTATGTCTCACACACTGCTTGTGGTTATGTAAAACGGTAAAAACTGTTTAGGAAAACAATTTGAAAGTTTCTTAAAAAGTTAAGCATACACTTACCATATGATCCAGTCAGGCCGCTTGATATGGTTTGGCTCTGTGTTCCCTGCTAAATCTCACCTTGATTTGCAATCCCCATTGTCCCCATGTATCAAGGGCAAGACTAGGTGGAGGTAAGTGAATCATGGGGGCGGTTTCCCCCATGCTGTTCTCATGATAATAAGTGAGTCTCATGAGATCTGATAGTTTTATAAGCATCTGGCATTTCCCCTGCTCACACTTCTCCTTCCTGCCACCATGTGAAGAAGGTCCTTGCTTCCCCTTCCCCTTCTGCCATGATTGTAAGTTTCCTGAGGCCTCCCCAGCCATGCTGAACTGAGAGTCAATTAAACCTCTTTCCTTTATAAATTACCCAGTCTCAGGTATTTCCCTATAGCAGCGTGAAAATGGACTAATACACCACTCTAGGTATTCATCCAAGGAAAAGAAAAGTATATGTCCATACACACTTGTATACAAAAGTTCACAACAGCTTTATCTGTAATAAACCTTAAACAACTCCAACATTCATCAACAGGTAAAAAATAAATTGTGGTATATACATATAATGGAACACGATTCAGCAATAAAAAAAAAGCCATTGATATACACAACATGGATGATTCTCAAAATTACGCTGCATAAAAGAGCCAGACCAAAAAAAGAATATGAGCACATTTATATAAAACTCTAGAATACACACTAATCTGTAGTGACAGAAAGCAGATCAGCGGTTGCCTGGAGAGGATGGAGGAAGGGAGAGGCAAGAGGAAGAGACGACCAAGGACCATAAAGAAACTTTTAGGGGTGATGGATATGCTCTCTATCCCGATTACAGTGACAGTTGCATCTGCATACACATTGTCAAAGTTTATTGGCTGGGTGCGGTGACGCACACCTATAATCCCAGCACTTTGGGAGGCCAAGGCGGGTGGATCATTTGAGGTCAGCAGTTCGAGACTAGCCTTGCCAACAGGGTGAAACCCTGTCTCTACCAAAAATACAAAAATTCGCCGGGATTGGTGGTGCACGCCTGTACTCCCAGCTACTCCGGAGGCCATGGCAGGAGAATCACTTGAGCCCTGGAGGTGGAGGTTGCAGTGAGCTGAGATCGCACCACTGCACTCCCGCCTGGGTGATAGAGACTCCATCTCCAAAAAAAAAATTATCAGTGTCAATGATACTTCAAAACAATAGGCAGTTTTTTTTGTGTTAATTATACCTCAATAAAGTTTTAAATAAAATGACTGAAACAATGAATAGCCATTGACAATTTTTAAGAAAATGAATACAATTAAGTCCGTATTTCTGGAAAAAAAGGTAACAGGGGTGGCAATGTAGAGGACAGAAGGGAGGTGAAAGAGACTAAAACAAGGATTTTAATCAGGAAGCTACCGCAAAAGTCCACGCAATAAAACAAGAGAGATCACATAGGCCATTTAATCTCTTTTGGCCTCTATTTTCTTAACTGTAAAATAAGAGTACTACCTACATCACAGGGTTATTGTGAAGATCAAATAGAATACTATACATGAAAATGCTTTTGAGCTATAGAATAAAATACAGATATTAAAACAATGATTAATATTGCAGCTATAGACATATTATTTATTGTCCTTTCCTTCTAATACTATCATGGTATATTAGTGGTCTTCTAACTCCTAACCTGCTCTCAAATATATGGCCAGAGTTCTCTTTAGGCAGGTAAGTATCAGAACTTTCCTGGCGTCCATGTGTGTAGGAATACATTCATAAGAGCTATGTATTTAGTTCGAATCTATTGAGAGCTCAGATCCTCCAGCCTCAAAGACAGAAGTTTAGCACTATAGCTCATAGGATCTCATGCCCTGTATCATATATGAGTGTGATTACAGACAGGAGATAAAGCCTTTCCTCAGAGTGAAGGACTGAACCGTTTTTAAAACATCCATCCACCATCTCCTCACCCAACAGTCTTTTCAGAGTTTTGTTTCCAGCCTCATACCTCATCCATTGACATATCCCATACTCTGCAAATTTCATTCTCCATTTCTTCATCAAGCTCCGTCTGCTGCTCCTCATCATCTGAGCTAGATTTGGTGTTTTCAGGGCTAACAATCTTCAGAAACACAAAGAAAGAAAACATGAATAAAAGTTGTCTACAATACTAACCAGGCACCCAAATATAGCAGGTGATCGAATAACATTTCCTTGTAACGTTGATGAGAAAAAAAATATTTGATTCCTGGCCAGGGCCACCGTCTGTGTGGAGTTTGCATGTTCTTCCCATGTGTGCATGAGTCTGTTCCAGATACTTCAGTTTCCTCCCACATCCCCCAAATTTGCACATTAGCATAACTGGTGTGTCTAAATGGTCCCGATCTGAGTGAGTGTGGGTGTGTGTGTACCTGTGATGGGATGGCATCCTGTCCAGGGCTGGTTTCTGCCTTGCACCTTGAGCTGCTGGTTTAGGCTCCAGCCACCCTCAACTCTGAACCAGAGCAAGTGGGTTGGGAAATGGATGAATACAAATTATTATAAAACAAAAATCTGTAAAGAAGACAATAATCATGGAGATGTACGACAATAATTATGTGGTAGGAATGTGCTCAGTAAGCCTGCCTTATTTGTTATTGTTTTTGGACTGTACAGTAGTAAGAGGTGGTCATTTTTGCTTTGTAAACATTTATTCCTTGATTTAACATAATCAAACAATAAAAGTTGTAGTGATCATCACTACAACCACCATCACTCACTAACTCACCAAAATTAGGTAAATAGTTATCTTGTTTTTATTAACCTTTCTTAAATGTATTTATAGCTCACATTTATCTCAATATTTAATACTAGACGTGTTTTGGGTCCTCATTTAGAAGTTTGGTGATGTTCTTGTGTCCAGAAATATGCCACAGGAACTTAACTCTTGTTTATATCAATTAGCTATGTAAAATTGGTTTCATTATCAGTAATTTTGCTTAAAGTCACAATTTCCAAGAACCTACTGATGTTAAGTGAGGACTTACTTTAGTAATAACCCATAATTGTTTAGAAGACACAAAGAAGCTACCAGCAAAGTATCTTCTCTTGCAAAAATCTTCTTTTAAAAACTTAGTGCCTTGGGTAGATCTATTCTTTCAACATTCACAAAGTAAATACTGTTGCTAGGCACTGGGGTAGATATACAAAGACGAGTTAGATATAATCCCTTACTTTAAAGATTTTTTTTTTTTTTTAACTTTTAGGATCTAGTGGGGAAAGACATGTAAAGGGATAGTCATATTAGAAAAGGCAAAGTGGGCAGGGCGTGGTGGCTCAAGCCTGTAATCCCAGCACTTTGGGAGGCCGAGACTGGCAGATAACGAGGTCAGGAAATCGAGACCATCCTGGCTAACACGGTGAAACCCCTTCTCTACTTAAAAAAAATACAAAAAAATAGCCAGGCGAGGTGGCGGGCGCCTGTAGTCCCAGCTACTGGGGAGGCTGAGGCAGGAGAATGGCATAAATCCGGGAGGCGGAGCTTGCAGTGAGCTGAGATCCGGCCACTGCACTCCAGCCTGGGCGACAGAGCGAGACTCCGTCGCAAAAAAAAAAAAAAAAGAAAAAAAAAAAGGCAAAGTGATTCAGATGAATTGTGAACAAAAAGTTGTGGTAGCAAAAATGATGGACCAATGACCTATTCCTGGGAGAAGATGGGGAACTTTCTCTTAGGTGTTGATATTTAAGCTAAATTTTAAAGGAAGAATAGTAGTTTGTCATGTGAAGAAGGAGAGAAGTGAGTATTCAGAGGAAAGTACAAGAGTTCAGAGTTCAGAGAGGGCCTAGCATGTTTGGGGATGGTGAACAGTTCGCTGTTGATGGAACACAGTGTATCACGAGAAGATGAGGCTGGAAAACGTACAAACAGCCCTGGATCCCAAGCTTCAAGAAATATGCATTTTTCTCCTATGCAAAGGGAACTAAGCAGTGTCATGAATAACGCTGTCTTTACAGATTATTCTGGCAGCTGTGTAGAAAATTAACTGGAGAGGATAGAGAAGAGAAGCAGAGGAACCAATGAGGGAAACATGGGGAGAAGAAAACTCACATTTACTGACAGCCTCCTATAAGTCAAACACCATGCTAAGCACTCTATGGCCATTATAATCTCACTTAACCTACACAATGACCCTATATATAATAATATAAATATTATAATCCCATTTTATAGAAATTAAGAGAGAAATAGAGGTTCTGAGCCGTTAGGTGACCTGCAGCTAGTGGGTAATGAAGCTATGTTTTTTGTTTTTTTGAGACAGGGTCTCCCTCTGTCTCCCAGCCTGGAGTGCAGTAGCTGGATCACAGCTCACTGCAGCCTCCAACTCCAGGCTCAAACGATCCTCCAGCCTCAGCCTCCTGAGTAGCTGGGACTACAGGTGTGCACCATCACGACCGGCTTTTTTTAAGTTTGTAGAAACCAGTTCTATGTTGCTCAGGCTGGTCTCGAACTCCTGGCTCAAGCGATCCTTCCGCCTTGGCCTCCCAAAGTGTTGGGATTACAGACGTGACTCATCGCGCCTAGTCAGAAGCCACATTTTTTATATAAAAGTTGTATAACCCTAAAATCACCATTTATTCTATTACAACTATAGTCCATGAAATATATAAACTAAGGACCTGGGCTTCAGAAATGACAGTGGGGATGGGGAGCAAAACCCAAGCAATGCAGTTACACGATCGTGTATTTTTGGAGAACTTGCGAAACTAAAATAGAACCGCAAGTATTCCAGCATCCCTAACATTATACTTCCCTTTGTGTCGAGAGACCCCGAGGGGCCCCAGATAGTTCTGGGGTCCGCAGCGGCCGGCGAAACGCAACGAGCGAGGTCCCGCAGCGCACGCCTGGGGAAGGGTCTTCGTGGGGATGGCGGCTCCCGGGGCAGGAGGAGCCGCCAGAGGCGGAGCCCGGGTGCCTGGGGGATGTGGGGAGAGCCCACGCGTGGCGCGAGTTTCCACACCTGGATGAGTCCGCTGAGGACGCCGAAGAGCCAGTGTTTGCTGTAAACCGTGCTCCCTATGCAGTCTCCACCGGCCACCTCCTCCTCCTCCTGGTCGCGACCCGGGGGCGGCGGCGAGGGGTTGCGATCCATAACTTTGCCGCGTCCCGCGCTTGAAGGCCGTGCCGGAAGCTGCGGAGGAGACCACCGGCACCCTAGTGCCAGAGCGCCCGGCGCACCCGGCGGGACTCCCCCTACAGCGCCGCCTGCTGTTCGGAGCTTGGCCAGCCAGCCAAGATGGCTTGACCTCACCCACCCCATTCTACCCAGGACCCAGGCACGAATATACTCATAATTATTTGTCACCCTCACTGAATCAGGGGTTCCATTTCTCCAGGAGCTCTTAGCCTGATTGAAGAAGGAAGGGTGGGGGCAGGGAGGAAGCCTCAGGAACAGATGTGAATCTCAAAGCTAGCGAACTTATTCTATTCGCCCTCTGTTCCTACAATCCTCTGATCTCTGGTCACCGTTGCCATTCCTAAAAATATCCGCGGGCGAAGCTGGATGACTTGTAAGGGATTCCAGGGATCCAAACTGATTCGTAAAGCTAAAGAGGCACCATTTGTCCTCATTGGAATGGCAGGTTTTGCAGTAGTTGCTGCATATGGATTATACAAATTGAAGAGCAGGGGAAATAGTAAAATATCGCATCACCTGATCCACATGCGTGTGGCAGTCCAGCTTTGTTGTAGGAGCAATGACTGTTGGTATGGGCTGTTCCATGTATCCGGATTTCTATGCAAAACCTAAACCTTAGAAGAAGAGATGTTGTCATCTTGTTGGAGGAGCTTGACTCATTAATGAGCCATCTCATTATTGAAGTTACATGTTTATATTGAAAATAAATTATTTGAGTAGGTTCAGATGATACTATGATATTTTGAGTTTTCACTTCCTTTCGTGTAGGCTTGATTTGCCTTGTGACCAAATTATTAGTGACTCTAGTTCACTAACTAGATCATTCAGGGGAGTCAAGTTAACACACAAGAAACACGTCACCTAAATGAACTTGATGGTGTTAAAATGTTCAAATTCTTAAACTGTTAAGATGAAATTAATACTAAAGAAGATAGCAGGCCAGTCCCAAAGTACTCCCAGTTTCCTCCTGAATCTTGCATGCTTTAAATGTTAAGAGTCCAATTTACTCCAGTTAATTTAACTTTTTTCTGTCTGTCTTGTGGACTGGCTGACTCTTTTAGAACTCTTTCAAAAAAGTGCATGAAATATAACTTGTAAAGCCTCCCACAACTGGCAGTATTGTGTGCATGTGTTTAAACCAAATCTAGAAATCTTACAACAGACCTGCATAGTATTAGTATTGATTAAATAACCATAATTGTAAACATGAGAAAACCTTCATTATGAATTTCAGTTTTGCACTTTTATAATTGCAGAATTACATTTTTGCTGCTATTAGAATAATTTTTCAGTGTCATCTTGAAACAGAAATATGTATTTTAAGCACCTATGCAAAGGTAAATGAAAAACACTTTTTAAATGATTGCATTGTTTATTTTCTCCATAAGAATCATAAACATTAAACTAAACAAATTACCTATGATGGAATTGATTTACAACTATCCACTTTGATTTAATGGAATTAAATTTATAGACGATATAACCTACTTCCAGATGAAATTTCAAAAATATCAATATAATGTCCAAACAGGAATGGAGACATGCAATTATTTAAAATAAAATAATGTCCACCTGAATATTTTAAATACTCAGTCATAACTATATTAGAAAACATAATGAAGGTGTCCAATGTTTGCCTAGAATTACTGTGATACTTACGTCAAAGTCAAATAAAACATAGAGGTGAATCTCTAAATTTAAAGCATTTTATTTAGGAAGTAAGAATTGCAATTCACAGCATACACACAGATAAGACAGGTGGTTGTCTTCGATATACCGGGAGAACAAAGAGAAGGTTGGGGATTTTATAAAAAGGAGAAGTGTTGCACATTGTTTTGAAAGAAATTTTATTGGTTTTAGTAAGGTTTGGGGGAGCTTGCAAGCTAGGATTGGTGAGAGATGGCAGCAGGTAAAATTAGTCTTAGAGGCACAGTAGGTTGTTTCAGCAGCTGTTAGATAAAACTGGTCTCCGTTTACAAGAGGCAGTTTCAGCAGCCAGGCTTGCAGAGAGTTACCTTTTTGGAGACAGAGGGTCACCCTATGTTGCTCAGGCTGTTCTCCAACTCCTGATCTCAAGTGATCCTCCCACCTCAGCCTCCCAAAGCGTTAAGATTACAGGCATGAGCCACCACATCCAGCTCATTTCTTTTGTTATATACACACATATAGGTTATGTTTACCAACCATCATATTGATGTAAGTCTGCAGTTCAATACTTGCTGGTTTATGCTATATAATTTATGCTAAAATGTGACATATACTCATGGTATATTATTCGTTTTATTCTTAAAAAATAAAAATGAGTTTTAAAAAGAAGAGGCCAGGACTGGGCGCAATGGCTCATGCCTATAATCCTAGCACTTTGGGAGGCTGAGGTGGGCTGATCACTTGAGGTCAGGAGTTCAAGACCAGCCTGGAAAACATGGAGAAACCTGGTCTCTACAAAAAAAATAAAAATTTGCCAGGTGTGGTTGCACACACCTGTATTCCCAGCTGGGAAGATGGCTTGAGCCTGGGAGGTGGATGTTGCAGTGAGCTGAAATCGCACCGCTGCACTCCAGCCTGGGCGACAGAGTGAGATCCTGTCTCAAAAAAACAAAAGAAAAAAAGAAGAAGAAGAAGCAGCTAGTCTAAAATTCATTTGTAAGTTGGTGACATTGCTGAGATAACCTGCCAATGTCTTCTCAACTTTTATTTGCGTCTAATACTCACAGCTGGGCTTCGTGAGTTTTTTTTTTTCCTTTTCTTTTCTCTTTGGATCTCAGGTGCACAGAATTGGATTAATCATAATCCTTAGTTATTACAGAGTCTCGTATGTCATCCGTGTGCTAATGAAACAGAATTACATTTTATAACCAGAAATCAGCTTTTTTCTTTTTTCTTTTTTTTTTTTGTGTCCCCAATGTCTCTCACTTTGATCCTGAACACAAGTCAATTCATACCTTCCCTAGTTACTCAAAGGTTATTGAAAGTACTATACAGGCCAGGTACGGTCTCTCATGCCTGTAATCCCAGCATTTAGGGAGGCTGAGGTGGGAGGATCACTTGAGCCCAGGAGCTGAAGACCAACCTGGGCAACATAGTAAGACCCTGTCTCTACAAATACATATAGTTTTTAATTAGCAGGGTGTGGTGGGGAGCACCTGTAGTCGCAGCTACGCGGGAGGCTGAGGTGGGAGGGTAGCTTGGGCCCAAGAAGTTGAGACTGCAGTGAGTGGTGATCATGCCACTGCACTCCAGCCTGGGCAACAGAGCAAGACTCTGTCTCAAATAACAAAACAAAACAAGAAAACAGTGTTACACAGGTAGTAATTTAAAGTCATGGGTTTGATGGCCTTTAGTTTATCTCAAAATGGTAACTAGAAAGTCCAGGTCCAAGTCATGATTTGAAGCTTCCAATTCATTTAAAATGAAAATTTCTCTCCCCTTTCCCAGTTCAGCCCACTATAGAGGGGTACTTCAGTCTGGAGGGGGGTGATGACTTTGTTTCTCTCCCCACTTTCTCCTCGCACAGATAGACAGCTGCTCTTTCTGACCTCTCCCCGATTAGCAGGGAAGGATTGGAAGTGAGAGGAGAGGGAAAGGAAAACGCTTTCTTGCCTGGTGTTTTCATAATATGGTTTCATGTTCTTTGGACCCAGCAGGTGTTTAAAGCTGATTCTGTGTGTGTGTGTGTGTGTGTGTTGTGGATTCTTCACATATACCACCTGTATCCCTGGAGATGCCTCTCCACAGCTCCCTTGAGTAGTGAGGCAACCTCCTCCATCTTGCTTGTTTTTTCTCAGCTTCTTATTGCTCCCCACACATACAGATTTGATATGAGATTCATAGATTAGTAACTAGGATAGTTCATGGAATACATTCATAGGAGGAGTGATTACATGACCTCATTTGCAAGTGTGTTTTATAAGTTCTAAACTCCAATGCAATTGCTAGTTACAGCAAATGGTTAAGAATGTTGACTCTAGCATCAAACTAGCAATGCAACTTGTGTATGTTATTTAAATTGTCTGTGCCTCAAGTTTCCTGAGCTCTAAAATAAGGATAATTAAAGTATGAGGATCCAGTGGATAACACAAGAAAGCCCTTAGACCAGTGCCTGACCCCTGGTCACTGCATCATGAATAGTAACTGTCATTCTACCACCTTTATCACGAGCACACTTTCTTTCACTGCCATTGACTAGTTTAGAGGAGCTTGAAAATCAACCAGCAGGAGGACTGCCATATTAACCACTGACTCTGACAAGGATGAACCTGGATTCTCAAGAAGGCATGAACAAAGTGCTACAGAGGCATTCATTATTACCCCAGGGTAAGGATTTAGGAGCTGACAGGTCTGATTCACTGAGAAGATGACATTTTACCCTGGCACGAGCCAAGGAGTAGGCAAAGAGAAGAGAAATAGCTTTGAAAGGTATTTCTTAGTACCATGGACAGGGACTGGTTGACACTGGGTTTGGCAAATGAAGTGGGGAAAGATTCCTGGGATTATGCCTCCGTGGCAGGGAAAGAGAACACTGAGGAATCCAGATTCCTGGGGGGAAGAAAAGAAGAAGGGACACAGCTGACTGGACAGAAAGGAGGCCTGGATATAGAGGGGCCTAGAACAGTCCACTGTAACCAGAGATACTTGTGCCAGCAAGACCCAGGAGAGAGGGTCCAACTTGGGAAATAAACTATGTGGAGTGTCTGAGAACACCCTTCTCCAAGAATCCAGAATTTTCTGGGATTATGAAAGGGATAGCCTCAGGCTACGTAGTGAACCTGGAGATGGTCACTGCTGGGGCCAATTCATTGTAACTCCAGGTACTTTTGCTTTTTTTTTGCATTTTTATTTGATTTTTTTCTTTCCTTCTTTCTAACTTTCTTCTTCCTTTCTTCATTTTTTCCTTTCTTCTTGTCTTTCTTTTTAGAGGCAGGGTCTTGCTCTGTTACCTGGGCTGGAATGCAGTGGTATGATCATAGCTTACTGCAACCTTGAGTTCCTGGGCTCAAGCTATCC